GCAGAGTGGACAGTGAAAGAGAGACAGAGAGAAAGGTCTTCCTTTGCCGTTGGTTCACCCTCCAATGGCCGCCACAGCCGGCGCGCTGCAGCCAGCGCATCACGCTGATCCGAAGCCAGGAGCCAGGTGCTTCTCCTGGTCTCCCAAGGGGTGCAGGGCCCAAGCACTTGGGCCATCCTCCACTGCACTCCCGGGCCACAGCAGAGAGCTGGCCTGGAAGAGGGGCAACCGGGACTAGAACCTGGCTCCCCAACAGGGACTAGAACCCGGTGTGCCGGCGCCGCAAGGCGGAGGATTAGCCTAGTGAGCTGCGGCGCCAGCCCAAATAAAGCATTTCTACATCGATAGGATCCCTCAATATCATAGTAAGTCTATGAAAAATAGAAATATGCAGGAATACAAGGAACAGTATGTATCACATTTTAAGAATTCTGATCAACTTTTCTTATGTGTCTTTCCTCTGTACAAATCCAAAACAAAAGCCACAAAAACTTCTAAGACAAAGAAAACATGGACAATAGACAAAAGAAATATTCATTTCACCCTTTGCAAGTTATATCCATGACTCCTGGCACCCCTTTCGTGATCCCCTACGCGAACTGAATCCTGGAGACCCAGCACAGCGGCCCGAGCATCACTGAGCATCACGGAGCAGCTGCCACTCCCTCACCTGGCCGGCATAATGCTCTACCTCCTCTGCCCTGGCCTGGTACCAGTCCATGACGCTCTCGACTGCAAGCGGGGCTGTCCTGTAGCTCAGCAAGGCAGGCTGTGCAGCATATAAGAATTCACTTTCATCTTGGCGACTTGGCTCAACAACCATTCTGCAACGCACAAGAGGAACAATTAGCAACAGACGGGAATGCTGTGGAAAAAACAAAAATTTTCTAACAGAAAGAAGCAGAGATGGGGTGAGAGCAGGCTACAGAGACAAGGATCATGTATGTAGTGCACATGTATGTGTGTGTGTGTTCTCCTGTACCCGCTAGGTCACTTAGGAGAAATGAGAGTTTTTTAGGATGTTTAATTTATTTTTCCACTAGCTTTCCTGATTTAAAAACCAGAATGGATAATAGATTAAAATAATTGTTCCACAAATCAATCTGAAAGTATTAACAAAATCAAAGTCACCCTGGAAAATCTGGACAGACACACACAGCTGGGAGTCCCACGGCAGGTCTATTAAATCAAAATCACCTGTGATGGCCAGCCAGGCTGAATTTAAGAAACACAGCCCCCAGGGATTCCAACCTGGATTTAGTAAGAAAGCTTGTTCTCAGTGTTCCTAAGAATCAGAGAAAATTCACCTCATTTATGTGATCATACCCTAACTGGGTGCCAGAGTATAGTACTGTACCAACACCTGTACAACACACCTCTACACCAATCCTCATCCTATATGAAAAAGAATGACTTAAGAATAAAGAAGAAAACAGACAAGAAAATAAAGAATGTCTCAGAGCAACAGGCACAGGGATAACAGCATGAGAATCACAAACTGAGTAGTTTTTAATAAGGGCCAATTGCCCTTAGGGAATAAAAGCAGAAAACCAAACTAAGAGATTGCAGGTGGACGAATGGAAAATGTTGTGTTCCACTGGGACATTCATTCCGCCAAAGTGAGCTGGCAGGGCACGACAGGAGCAGTCTGTTGCTAGCACAAGGCACGGGAGACAGAATGCAGTCTGAAGCACAATTCCATCATCGAGCTGTGAAATTGTCTGCAAATTACTTAACTAAAATTAGACAAAGGTTCTTTTTATTCATTTTTTAAAATGATGATAATACAGGGTACTTCAAAAAGTACTCAGAAAATGCATGTTATGATTTGCATAATAGACATAGAACCTCACATGACTACAGCAATAGGTGCTCAATGACTCTCTCTCAAGGTAGCACGTTCTACCTTTACTATCAAATTAGCAAGGTTCTATCCTGATACATCAAAATAAATCTTTAAATTCTATTTTCCTGAACAGGTCTTCAAAGAAGGAGGTACCTTTCTCTGAAGGGAGGAGAGAACCTCCACTTTGACTATGACCGTGTCTGAACAAGGTAAGAGTCGGAGAACTCAAGGGGCTTCCATAGCCTTGGAAACTCATGACTGGTGCATAGGGAGATTACTGATGCCATAAACAGGAGTGTCAATTTGTAAAGTCAACAACAGGAGTCACTGTGCACTTACTCCTCATGTAGGATCTCTGTCCTTAATGTGCTGTACATTGAGGCTTAATGCTATAACGAGTACTCAAACAGTATATTTCACTTTGTGTTTCTATGGAGGTGCAAACTGTTGAAATCTTTACTTAATGTATACTAAACTGATCTTCTGTAAAAAAAAAAAAAAAAAAAAGAAGAAGAAGAAGAAGAAGAAATTATCAATTCCCAACTTGACTCTCACTGGGATTAAACATGACAATAGGTCTGATCTGATTTCATCATCATTTAAAAAATCATCTATTATTTTTCACTTTATGTTTCTGTGTGGTAGCAAACTGTTGAAATCTTTACTTAATGTATACTAAACTGATCTTCTGTATATAACGAGAATTGAAAATGAATCTTAGCCGGCGCCGCGGCTCACTAGGCTAATCCTCCGCCTAGCGGCGCTGGCACACCGGGTTCTAGTCCCGGTCGGGGCGCCGGATTCTGTCCCGGTTGCCCCTCTTCCAGGCCAGCCCTCTGCTGTGGCCAGGGAGTGCAGTGGAGGATGGCCCAGGTGCTTGGGCCCTGCACCCCATGGGAGACCAGGAAAAGCACCTGGCTCCTGGCTCCTGCCATCGGATCAGCGCGGTGCGCCGGCCGCAGCGCGCCGGCCGCGGCGGCCATTGGAGGGTGAACCAACGGCAAAAGGAAGACCTTTCTCTCTGTCTCTCACTCTCACTGTCCACTCTGCCTGTAAAAAAAAAAAAAAAAAAAAAAAAAAAAAAAGAAAATGAATCTTGATGTGAATGGAAGGGGAGAGGGAGCGGGAAAGGGGAGGGTTGTAGGTGGGAGGGAAGTTATGGGGGGGAAGCCATTGTAATCCATAAGCTGTACTTTGGAAATTTATATTTATTAAATAAAAGTTTTTAAAAAAGGAAATTGTAATTTAAAAAAAAATTCTATTTTCCTATGAACTTTTTGAAGATCTCTCATTCTATATGAAAAATACTGTGAAAATTCAAAATAATGTAAATGCACTGCTTCATTTGTAGTTATTTTTGTACTGGAATTACTGGCAGCTGTGGTATACAACCATAAACAAAGCGCTCAGGAATTCGGCATTTTATCCACATGCCTTAGAAATATACTGTGCTTAGAATCAGCACTGCAGTAAGGCCTCTAATATAATAAGCACCGGACCTGTGGTCAGTCTCCCAGTGCCAGTCACACTGCTGACAGGGAATTCTTCCTGACAGTGCAACATGAAGCCACATCACTGCTCCTAGAATCCTTTAAGTCTGCCCTGCTTCAGCCTGGAAAACCAGCCACCAGCAACTACGAGTTCCCTGGCTGCTTTCTTCAGTTCTTGTCTACTTCCCTCCGGGCACCACCGGCTAGAATCTAACCTCTTTCTCTTTCTGGAAACATGGTTCCCTTTCATTCCAGTGGGCTGCACTGTCAGACCTCATTATTCGGCTGCTCTTTTTCAGTCACCTCTGCTAGAATATTCTCCTCTATCCAATTTTATACTAGCACTTCCAAATGCTTAATCCAACACTCATCACTTCTCTCTCTCTCTCTCTAGGTCTCCCCTTCAACTCTACAAGCAAGTTACCACACACATGTCAACAACTACCACATTGTTTAACTCAGATCTCACCTACAAGCTCATGATCTTCCTACTACGGCAACAGAACTATCTTGCTTAAAACTGAAACCGGTTATAAGGCTCCTATCCGTGCCTTAAATATGTACCTAGGTTGTAAACTGCCTCAGCATTCTCATCCTAACGCCTGTCTCGTGCTGTGTTCTTTCTCAGCATTCGCCCTGTAGATAACTCACGAGCAGCAGCTGTACTGCTGCATCAGCTACTTCTCAAGGACAGGGACACATCTTCAGTACTCCAGAGCCTAGCAGAGGACAGACATAAATCAAACAAATAAACAATAAGATATGGCCTGTACTACTCAATGTTCGCATCGTCTTCAAGTCCCCTTTCCCTCTGTTTATCTTTTCCTGGCTTTAGGAGTCTGGCACAGCAAGATTTGTTCATGCTGTCACTTGCTGTGGTTCACCTGGGAAGAAATGTCCTCCTTCCTCCTACCTACTTGTTAGAATCATAAAAACCCAAAGGCTGAGAACTGGAAGCACCAGTTCTGCCAGGGCTCCCCTGTAAAATGCACTGGGTGAACCAGAAAGAACTGTGGTAACAGGGTCACCACCCCTTCCTCACCACCACACCCACTGGCAGCCACCTCCTACCTTTTCCAATTTATCTACCTCTGCAATCTCTCATTACAATTGGTAAATAAGGGCTTTCAGTTAAATATGGTTTGAATACTATGCATTAAGTTCTCCTTAAATTTCTCCCTGCATATTCCACCAGCAAACAGTAAGATTTCTTTGATAGGAGTTGAGGAGAAACAAGCATTCAAGGGGGCACGGGGGCAGGAAGAATAGGCAGCATGGAACACAAAGAAACTACATCATTATCTTCCACTCTTGGAAGTTAACAGATAAAGGCCAAAACTAAACATAAAGAAAGAAGCACACAATAATGCTAGTCACAGAAACGGAGGCAAACACCAAAGCTTTCCTCTAAAACAACTGAGAGCAGCTGCTGCTGGAGCGTGGGACATGAGGGAAGGCACAAAGGACTATATGGTTTGCTTTTTGCTTTTTAAAAAGCAAGCTTTCTAGAATGTTAACTCATTAAACTATAGTTATTTGCAAATATATACAAGTTTGATAAAAATGAAAACTACATTAAGAACACTTTTTTAAAAGCACACAATAGCAAAAACACAGGAGGACATTCAATTACAATTACACTGAAATTCACTAGAGTGAAAAAAGGAACTAAGAGTTACATATTCTATTAACTCAAGATAGGAAAAATGCAAAGGCACAAAACAGCCATTTGCCCTAGCAGTTAAGACTCCCAAGTTCTGTATCAGAGTACCTGGGGTCAATACCCAGCTCTGGCTCTGGCTCTAGCTTGTTCCTAATGCAGACCCTGGGGAGGAACAGGTTCAAGTGACTGGTTCCTGCCATCCATGTGAGACTTGGATAGAGTTTGCAGCTCCCAGCTTCAGCCCAGCCTGGTCCCATAGGCATGTGGGGAGTGCGTCAGCAGATGAAACATTTCATAACATTTCATAACACTTATATTTATATATAAATATTATATATTTAATATATATTCAATGCAAAGGACAAAAATGAAGGGGAAAAAAATTGAAGGGAAACTGCCAACAGGAAGAAGGCTTCCAAATTTCATTTGCAATGATTACATTACTGGTAAGGACTTTTATTCATCACTTTTTTAAACACAGAAATTAAAAATGCATAGAAAAAAAATCCAATACTCTGAAAAGAACTCTCAAATAAAAACCAGCAATCCCTACACAATCCTCACTGCTACTATCCTTGTCATTAACTACACCATGGTCAAGCATTTAGCTTTCTTTCCATTCTTTACTTCCAAGTGTCTCAACAATGTGCCTGGCAGGACTGTTTCCTGATGAATCTACCTTAGACATTATTCAGTTATCTGAAGTCACAATGATTCACCTTCCCTATACTCTTCCTCTCATTATGAACACATCACCCTCTGGATTAACAACTAATGTTTACATAATAATGATTATCTGAATATCACTTACTACTGAGCCACAGG